CCCCCCCCCCCCCCCTTTTCCCACGTACCCTTCACTTGTGAACCATCCAGCGGGGTCGAGCCACGACCTGGCGCTGTCGTCCCTCATACTGCCGTCGCCGCACTCTATCATCTCGTGCCTGACGTCACGCAGCCACATACATAAATCAGAAATCCATCAGGAAGGAACAACTACGTCGTCTGTCTGTTGCTCGATGTCGTTGTCTGCCTACTTTTGCAGGAGGAGGGCGATGTTCAGGAAGAAGGCCTTGCGCTCCGTGCGGTTGAGCTTGGACGCGTCGATGCCCTGCACCGCACGCAAATTGCTCACAAACCTGCACACCCACACCCACCCACCCACCCACCCACACAGACACAGAGACACAAAACATGCGGCCATTCATTCAATGGCTGGTGTCTTTCCCCTTTCTTTCCTCACTGACTGTCTGTATTCCTCGGATATTCTGACGGCGGCGATGTCAACGCCCGGCAGGCCGGTGGGGGGCCGGGATCCGTCGTCGGACAAGAGGGATGAGAGGCGAGTAGTCCTGCTGCCGCTGCCGCTGCTGGTGGTGGTGTCGTCTCGCGGCCGGTGGTCGTCGTGGAAGGCGGGGCTCTCCAGCACACAACGCAGCTGATCCACCAGCTGACAGGATATCTGAGTGAAGAGACAGACAGACAGCACGGGCCCGATTGGGTGCGGTTGGTTAAAGTGTGTGATCCGTCGTGCATGTGTGTGTGCGTGTGTCACTGTCTGTTATTTCTTGCCATGAGTGGGTCGGCGATGGTGCCTTTGAACTCTCCCAGCGTCATGTTGAGCGGCAGACCCGGCGTGTCCTGCGTGCAACACACAGACACACAGACACACAGACGGGGGCTGTGCTGTGCTGTGCTGTGCTTTGTCGCCAGACAGCCAGCCATCCATCCATGGGTACTGACGTAGTAGAATCGGAGTTTCTTGCTGGGGTCGTCCTCGAACCCCGCGCCGCTGGACCCCACCACCACCAAAAGACCCACGTCCACCATGTCCTGACACACACACACACACACACACAGACATACACGAGTGGATCCGCCTGGCTGCCTGCATGCCTGGCTGGCTGGCTGACCTACCTGAGCAATGCCGCCCGCCCTCTCTCTGACGACGTCGAAGTGTTCGCACAGAAAGTCCACCAGATTGGGGGCCGAGAAGACACGCTGGCTCACACCAAACACACCGGATCGCTGCACCTCGGTCGGCAATACGCTGATCGATCGATCACACAAACAGACACACAGACTGTTGTATGTATCTCTTCTCCATCTGCGTGTGTGTGGCGTGGCGGACCCCCGAGCGACGAAGGCGATGCTTGAGAGGGTATCATAGTTGTCCAGCAGAGAGCTCGGCAGCTGACACATTCCACCCACACAAACACACATCACACAAGACACAAACACAACTCCCACACAGTGCGCCGTCCGCCCTCCCCTCTCCTCCCCTCCCTCTCTACCTCCCCATTCGCAAATGGCGCCGTAGCCGACAAGGCCAGGGCGCTGCGTGCTCCACTGCCCGTCCTGCTCCTGCTGCCGGTATCAGACGCCTTGCTGCGTGCCAGGTCAGGTGAGCCAGCCGACAGCGGCGGGCTGGCGATCGACTCGGCCCCACCGCTGCCCGACCGGTGTGAGGCCATCAGCCGCTCGGACGACGCCAGGGGTAGGGCGAGGTTGCTGGTGAGAGCGGCGGGGCCTGCCCTGTTGGAGCGGGAAGAGGCCGCCAAGCCGCGGGACATGGACAGGTTGCTGTCGTCCTCGCTGTCCTTCCGCTGGTGCTGGGGGTGGGTCGGCCGCTGCTGGGACTGGGAAGGGGACAGGGGGTGGCTCGACAAGTCGGTGGTGTCGGTGGGCCCCACTGTGGCCCGTTGCTGCTGCTGCTGCTGATTCTTGTGGCGCGCCCGGAGTCCTTCGCTGAGAGAGAAGGGGTGGTGGTCATCGCTGCGCTGGGAGGCCAGGGGGGCTGCTGCTGCTGCTGCTGTTGCTCCTGATACGCTGTTTCTCGGCTTGTTGGTGTGTGGTGCGTTGTTTGATGTGAGATGTGTGTCGGGTGAGGGTGGGAGGCCCACCACAGGCACACCCACCACATCCGCAAAGCTCCTGCGGCTCTCGCTGTGGTACTGCTGAGACTGATCCAACACACACACACACGCACACCGAGACAGAGGCATGAGAATGGAGGGAGGGAGGGCTTTGTGGGGTGTGTGGGCCATGTGTGTGGGTGTGTTCTACGAAAGGTGTCCTCTCGTCGGGCTGTGCCGCCTCGTTCGGGGTGGTGTCCATCTCAAAAGGCCCCGCTACCTCGCCGCCCTTGCCGTTGTCGACGACCATCAAGCCATTCGCTTGGTCACCGCTGCCCGACACCGACAAGGCACCCTCCCCCCTTGATGCTGCCGCTGGTGCTGCGGCTGGTGTCTTGTCTGGGAGTGATTTTTCCGACGCCGAGTTGGAGGGGTCGAAGAATGGCCGCACGGCGTCGGCGCACTTCCACTCGTGGACGAAGTAGTTGATGCGCGCGTGGATAATTGGGTCTTGCGCCAGCCTAACGATCCACAGAGAGAGAGAGAGAGGGAGAGAGAGAGAGAGAGTGGTGTGTGAGGGTGGAGGGATTGCGTGTGGGGTGTGGCTGACTCCCAGCAGCTGGGTCGTTTCCTGGGGTCCTTTTGCAGCAGCCAGTAGCAGATGCGCGTGATGACCTCGGGGGTGTCTTCGGGCAGGGGGTCCGGGTCGCTCTCACAGATCTCCACAAACAAGGCTTGCATCGAACTCTTAAGAAATAGCCACACACAACACAAAGGGGAAACACAACACGACACGCAACCATGTTGTGTTGCTCGCCTCGCCGCAGGGAGTGGCTGGCCCGGCTCAACCGTGTGCCTGCCTGCCTGCATACGATACGTACGTGTTCAAATGGCCTCTTGAGTGTCACCATCTCATACACAATGCAGCCTGACACAGACAGACAGACAGACAGACACACAGACCAACATCCACAA